CCTGGTTATCCAACAGTGTGGCAAGACCTGGGAACTTGTGGGCTCAGAGTCAATGACATAACCAAAGAGGACTAGAAAAGAGAGTGAAGTTTCTCGCTGATAAAAAGAGAGGGCATATGCATAAGGACACCCACATTTACAGATAATACCCACTTGACCTGGATTCAATGACTGGATGATCAGAGCTCAACTAGAAGAAGAAAAAAAGAGGAAAAAAAGAGTAATCTGATACAATTTGATGAACTTGACCTACACCTATGGATGCGGTAGCTCAAAAGAGGGAACAATTCTTTACAGGGAGGATCATTCCCACCCCCTCCATACAAAAAGTAGATAGATACATCTCTGCTCTGCGAGCAGCACACACGTCCGCCACTCCCCTGCCTGCTCCTGGGACCATGGCCAACACGGAGCGCACCTTCATTGCCATCAAGCTGGATGGCGTGCAGCACGGCCTTATGGGCGACATCATCAAGCGATTTGAGCAGAAGGGATTCCGTCTTGTGGCCACGAAATTCATGAAGACCTCTGAGGAGCACCTGAAGCAACATTATATTGACCTGAAGGACCGCCCATTCTTCCCTGGCCTGGTGAAGTACATGAATTCAGGACCAGTTGTGGCCATGGTCTGAGAGGGGCTGAATGTGGTGAAGACAGGTGGAGTGATGCTTGGGGAGACTAACCCAGCGGATTCTAAGCCAGGCACTATTCCTGGAGATTTCTGTATTCAGGTTGGCAGGAACATCATTCATGGCAGTGATTCAGTAAAAAGTGCTAAGAAAGAAATTAGTCTCTGGTTTAAGCCAGAGGAATTGGTTGACTACAAGTCTTGTGGACAAAACAGCAACCCCTGAGCCTTTGACACAGCTCTTTATGCCAGAGGTTTGGAATCAATGTGATACTGAAGATACTTTCTGAAAGCACATTTATCAGTAAAGCCTTTGGAAACTGGGAAAAAAAAAAGGAGACAGGTATGGACAACTTGGATATTGCCTACTCAAAATGGTGGGGGGCTACAAAGGCAAGAAGTGACTGGCTTGCAAGCTTTTAAGAGGAAGAATAATCCAGGGGGTGCCGAGGAAGGTAGAATTTCCACTGAGTAGTAGCCAATCTGTGAGGATGGGGCTGATGAAAGGAGATGGGGATAGGTCTCTTGTGGTACAATATTGAATAATTTTTATCAGGCCTGATTGTGAGGGCTGGAAATATAAAGATAGACATTTGTAGCAAAAGGAGGGGAGTGACTGACTTTGCAGGCCAGGAGCAGAGGTTCCTGGGACCATCAAGGGAGAAGAGTGGTGTGTGGGACCCTACCTAGAGAAACAGTGATGCCAGAGATGGAGACAAAGACGATGACGTGGAGAGATGGAGTCGCTGGGGACTCTAGACCCAGAGTGGGAGAGGGTCTGTGTGCTTATGACCGGGGACAGGCATCCAGGGTATACCGTTTGGTTGGTTGATGATATATGGAGGGGATTGTAACCATGGCAATGAAAAAATATATAGGATAGTATGAATGTAAAGCTAATGTTCTCCCATGAAAGCAACCACATAATTCACAATAAAACATTTTAAAAAGGCAAATATTTTATATTTTCACTAGCATGAAATAGTAGAACAGGCAAATGTCTAGTGAACAAAGTTTTTTGGAGAGTAAACTTTATTAGAGACTACAAGTGATAAGAGGATTCCTGGAGTGATGCTGTAGGATAAGTAGTAAACAGTGAACCTCAAAGTTGGTAGTACCAATGCTGCAGCTACTCCTTGTAAACCATGTACATGGTAATTGTGAATCAGAATTGACTCAACAGCTCTTAATATCAAGGGAGAAGAGAGGTAGAAATCGGGAAGATGTTGTTTAGAAAATATTAACTCCTTGTGGTGAAATTTTGCAATGGATATGTACATATATGAGGCATATGTACAAATATGGTTGTAAAACATAATTAATGATACCTATACCTATATCACTACATTAAGGAGCTCTGGTAGCATAGTGGTTACGAATC